CCCAATACAGCCACAAAACAAAATTAAACCAAGGGAAAGAAAACAGGTGACTGAAACCAACAACTAGCCTATCAATAACATAGTTGCACAGTACCAAGTGGAGCAATGGGAAGATGAAAAAGGGATGGAAACCATTCTCCCCAAAAAAATAATTTAATACAGAATTCAGAAGGAAATGAAGAAAACAGATACCCAATTCCAGATTCCAAAACAAACATAAACGATGCCAAGGAACCCAATGATGCCCACAGAATATCCTCAAAGAAGAAATCCTGCAAGTAATCACTGAGAATATCATGGACATGATACTAGACATGGTTAACCAAAATGTACAAGAGGCACTCAAGAAATTCCAAGACACCAAAAATAATACAAGAAGACACAGAAACAAATAAATGAACTAATAGGAGCCATAAATAAACACCAAAGTGAAACACAGAACACTATAAATAGAGAGATAAATTAATTAAAGACAAAAATAGACAATATTAAAGAGGAAGTAATCCATGATATGGAAAACCTCAGAAAAAAGAATGAAACAGAAATACAAAACACAATGGAAGGCCACTCCAGCAGACTAGAACAAGCAGAAGACACAATCTCAGAACTTGAAGATAAAATGGAAATTAAGGGAAAAACTGAAAAGCTATTAGTCAGACAACTCAAGACCTGTGAAAGGAATATGCAAGAACACACTGACTCCATCAAAAGACCAAACCTGAGAATCATGGGCATTGAAGAAGGAGAAGAGGTGCAAGCAAAAGGAATTTGTAATATATTCAACAAAATAATAACAGAAAATTTCCCAAATCTAGAGAAAGCTAGGCCCAGTCAAGTACAGGAAGCCTCCAGGACACCAAACAGACTTAACCAAAATACAACTACCCCATGACATATTATCATTAAAACAATAAGCACAGAGAACAGAGAAAGAATACTGAAGGCTGTAAGAGAGAAAAAAACAAGTAACATACAAAGATAAACCCATAAAAATAACAGAAGATTTCTCAATGGAAACCTTAAAAGCAAGAAGGGTATGGAGGCTGGAGGATCCAAGATGGCAACTGAGACACAGCCACAGACTGCATGAGCTCTGTGAATCAGGGACCTTGCTAAGACACTGGAGAGGTAAAGCACCAGGGAGAGTCGAAACTTCGGCACTCTGAACCCCTAGCTCATGAAACGCTTCTCCATGCCACAATTTACTAAAAGAACAGCTAGCTGTTGCCCACCAAGCACCTGCCCCATAGGCCCATGGAGCTGCAGCTCCACAGGCCCACAGGTTCTCCGATCCACCAGGCATGCCAGGCCCACACTCCACAGGCCTGCTGGACCTCTATTCTGCCAGGCCCCTGCCCAGCAGGCCCACCAGGCCCCTGCTCCACAGACCACCAGGCCCCTGCTCCACAGGCCTGCCAATCACTGCTCCACCAGGCTCCTGCCCTGTAGGCCTGCCAGGCCCCCACCCGCCCACCGCCTGCCACAGGAGGTCTCGAAACCTGCCTAGGAGACACAACAGACAGGGCTGGATGCTAAAGGAGTAACACCAGAACAACTAAAACTGTAATTCTACTGTTCCTGAACCAGTGATTTTTTTTTCATTTGCCTTTCTTTAAAGGTCTAGCTGTCTGGTTTGTTGTTTGATTGTCCACAATCTCTCCCTCTTGTTTTCTTTGGTTCTCCATTTTTTTCTTCTATTTCTTTTTCTTTCTCTTTTTTCTCCTTCTTTCTTGCTTTTGTTAGTTTTACTATTGTAACTCAGCTAATACTAAATTACACATAGTCCAGGGACAGAAACAGTCATCACACCACAGATCAAATGGACCTCTAGCTGATGTCTACAGAATATTTCATCCAACATCTGCACAATATACATTCTTCTCAGCAGCCCATGGAAACTTCTCCAAAATTGATCATATCTTAGGGCACAAAGCAAGCCTCAGCAAATAGAAATAATCCCATGCATTCTATCTGACCACAATGCATTAGAACTAGAAATCAACAACAAAAACAGCAGTAAAAAACATGCAAACAAATGGAAGCTGAACAACACATTGCTCAATGACAAATGGGTCATCGATGAAATAAAAGAGGAAATTAAAAGGTTCCTGGAAGTTAATGAAAATGAAAAACACGACCTAGAAGAACCTATGGGACACAGCAAAGGCAGTCCTAAGAGGAACGTTCATAGCCATGAGTGCATATATTAAAAAGACATAAAGATCTCAAATCAATGACCTAATACTATAACTCAAACTCCTAGAAAAACAAGAACAAGCAAATCCCAAAAAAGCAAGGAAAGAAAGAATTAAAATAAAGGCTGAAATCAATGAACTAGAAGCAAAAAAAAATGCAAAGAATCAATGAAACAAAAAGCTGGTTCTTTGAAAAAATAAATAAGATTGACAGACCCCTGGCAAACCTGACTAATATCAGTAAAATCAGAAATGCAAAAGGGGATATAACAACAAACACCACGAAATCCAGGAAATCATCAGAGACTACTTTGAGAACCTATATTCTAATAAATTTGAAAATCTTGAAGAAAAGAACAAATTTCTAGATACTTATGACCATCCAAAATTGAACCAAAAGGATATTAATCACCTGAATAGATCTATAACACAAAATGAAATTGAAGCAGCAATCAAGAGTCTCCCATAAAAGAAAAGTCCAGGACCTGGTGGATTCTCTGCTGAATTCTATCAGACATTTAAAGAAGAAGTAATACCAAATCTCCTTAAACTGTTCCATGAAATAGAAATGGAAGGAACACTGCCTAATTCATTTTATGAAGTCAATATTACTCTCATCCCAAAACCAGACAAAGACACCTCCAAAAAGGAGAACTACAGGCCAATTTTCTTAATGAATATTGACACAAAAATCCTTAATAAAATAATGGCAAACCGAATCCAACAACACATCAGAAAGATCATTCACTATGACCAAGTTTGGCTTCATCCCAGGGATTCAGGGATAGTTCAACATATGCAAATCTATAAATCTAACAGCACATTAACAGAAGCAAAGACAAAAACCACTTGATAATCTCAACAGATGCAGAAAAAGCCTTCGACAAGATCCAACACCACTTCATGATAAAAGCTCTAAAAAAACTAGGATAGAAGGAATGTACCTCAACATTATAAAGCCTACATATGACAAACCTACAGCCAACATCATACTTAATGGTGAAAAACTGAAACCATTCCCCATAAAATCAGGAATGAGACAAGGGTGCCCACTATGCCCACTCCTATTCAACACAATACTGGAATTTCTCCAGAGCAATTAGGCAAGAAGAAGAAATAAAAGGAATACAAATAGGTAAAGAAACTGTCAAATATCCTTATTTGCAGACGATATGATCCTATACTCTAAAGACCCAAAAAACTCTACCCAAAAACTATTAGACACCATAAACATCTACAGTAAGGTGGCAGGACACAAAATCAACTTACAAAAATCATTAGCATGTCTATACACCAACAACAAACAATCTGAGAAGGAATATATGGAAACAATTCCATTCACAATAGCCTCAAAAAAAAAAAAGCAAATACCTAGGAGTAAACTTAACAAAAGAAGTGAATGACCTCTACAAGGAGAATTACAAACCCCTGAAGAAAGAGATTGAGGAACACTACAGAAGATGGAAAGATCTCCCATGCTCAGGGAAAATATATTCAAGCAAACAGACCCCAAAAGCAAGCATGAGAAGCAGTACTGAAGTCTGACAAGGCAGAATTCCAACAACAATTAGTCAGAAGAGATGAAGAAGACACAAATTAGAAGACACAGTATCACTTCCTACTGATAAAAGGAGCAGTCCATGAAGAAATTATGACTATTGTAAACATATACACACCAAATGTTGGTATAACCAGTTTCACAAAACAAACACTACCGGACATAAAGATATGGATCGATCCCAACACAGTAACAGGAGGTGACTTCCATACCCCATTTTAACCAATAGGTCGTCCACACAAAAAAATCAACATAAAAACATCATGACAAAATGACACTGTAGATCAAATGGACTTAATAGACATGAACAGAATATTTGGTTTAACAGCCACAGAATGCACATTCTTCTCAGCAGCCCATGGAACTTTCTCCAAAGCAAGCATATTTTAGACATATGGCAAATCTTAACAAATACAAAAAATTGAAATAGCTTCTAGCATGTTCTAGAGCTGCAATTCAGACATAATTATGTTAGAATGCAGTTCCTGATTTGGTAGCTCTGGTGGGTGTTGGTATCAGACTTGTGTTCCTAACAAGCTCTCAGTTGAAGCTGATGTTGCTGGTCCATGGAGCACACTTTGAGTTGGGAGATTTTAGAGTGTCCTTGAAAGTTTTTTTTAAGATATCTGCATTTAAATTTTTTGCTTCTTTCCCTCCATGGCACTCAAGATTTGAAGGATGATAGCAATAATCTTCAGAGCAGAGAATCTTAGCCAAGTTATAAGAAAGTTTCTGGGAAAAAAAGGAAGGTGTTGGTTATCTAGAAAACAAAAACTAGGACATCAAAATATCCTCCAAAGAAAATTGCCATGAAGTACTGCAACTCTCTAGAAGCACTAGAATTCTCTTCTGTCAAATCTCACACTTACCATTTTATTTTAAGTGCTTGTGTTAAAGTAGACTATGTCTATGGTACTTTACTGTTTTCTGAGATTTTCATTATAGTTTTGTTGATTGTTTCCTTATTTTTTATATTTTTATTAGTATATATTAACTAGGGCACAAAGGGTTTTTGTGGCAATATTTCCATATATGCATACAATTCACTTTGATCAAATCCATCCCCTCTATTATTCATTATTATCCCTCCTGTCCCTCTCCCTTCTTTTACAGTTTTCAGTGGCATTCATTATGTTATTTTCCATACATACATACAATGTACTTCAAACATATTCACCCTACATCACTTTTCCCTTTCCCTTCATATAGTCCCTCTGTTACATTCATGCCATATTATTTTTAGGACAAGATTACACATACAAGAGAATACATGCAATATTTGTTTCTCTGAGCTTGGCTTATCTCAATCAACATGATCATTTCTTAAAAAACAGGAAGTCTTTGTCTTAGTGAAAGTTACTTCAAACACATGGCAATCATTTATTGAGAGCTATTCTGTGTCCAACACCTAATAGGTGCAAGAGGGTCAGGATAAGAGCAACATACCAATGAGAACAAGAGAAAGAAAATAGTAGCCATATGTTCTCAGTGTGCAGTTGAACTTGAATCTGTTATTTCTCCAAACCCTGGAAATTCAGAGAGTTGCAAACTACAGAAGATCAAACTGTAAATTGGAGTAGAAACTCTTGTTTCTCTTCAGTACATTAAACACTGGGGAAATGGCCCTGCTCATCCACACTCTGTATTGCCCACAGTTTGAGGATCCTAAATTTCCACAATAAGCCATGAGCAGATTTCAAAGAAGGATCCTGCAGATGCTTATGATTCTCATATGTTGCTCCATAGAAAAGCCTTTAACCCTGAGAGAGAGAAAAGAGAATTTCCTTAGAATATAAAGCAGAATTAATACGAAAGTGTTACAAAGGTCATAGCTTCAGAAACATGGTCTTATAAATACACCATGATAAATATATCAACAAAGATTAAAAGAAAAAACATTAAAATGTTAAAACTTATGGTCTTTAGTTTGGAAGACCTTGTTGGCAAGCTATTCCCACTCTGTTCACTGATAGCTCTCATTCTAGATACTGCAAAGCCAAATACTTATTTTCTCAAATTTCTTTGCAGCTAGAAATAGTCATAGTATACAGTCCTCACTTGTTAGGTGATAAGAAATCTGTTGATGGGATTCTGGGTTAAAGGAGAGTTTCCTGTTTCCATCCCATCCAGATTCTTCTTGCCTTTAATGTAGTGGTGATGTCTGGAGCTGTCAAAGCCATTTTGCAACCATGAAAAGAATGTGATGGAAAGCCACCATGCTAATGGTTAAATGGAAAACTAAGAAGAGCCTATTGTTTACACAGTGCTGGATATTGAATCCAGGACCTTATGTATGCCAGGCACTCACTCTACCACTGAGCTATATCCCAATCCAAGAGAGCCTCAAGCCCCACCCCTTACTCAATGAGCTGAGGTGCAAACACTGAGCACCCAGCCAGTACTTGACACATGGTATTGTTTAGTGCCACTAAGCTGCAGGCATCCCTTCTGATCAGAACCTGTGTGAAACACACAATCCCCCACCGTCTTGGAAGTGAAGGGCATGGATGACAGTAAGATCTGTGAGGTCTGGGACTGGGAGCTGGACTTCCTCTTCCTAGTCATCCAGCTCTTGTATTCTTCTCGTACCTGGAGAAAAAGACACATCAAAGGAAGATTAATTACTCCTAGATGTAGGGAAATGGACCAATGAATGGATGGAAGAATGGGGACCAGAAGTGGGAGGGCTGCAGCTACATACCTGGCGGTTGAGCACACAGTGAATGAGGAAGATGAAGGTCCCCTGCAGGCTGTTGATGATGGTGAATAGGTACGCCATTATACTTGCAGTGGGTCCAATCTGAAAAATGCCAAGCACCCAGGAACTTCCCAAAATAAAGATTTGAGCAAAGGCCTTGAAGGTCAGTAATCTGGAAGAGAAGATTTACAAAGCAAAGGTCTCAGAGGTGACATTGTCTCATAGGCAACACTCCCAGTAACTGTTTGAGGTTCACCATGTGACCCACCACTTGAGAGGGGATAAAAGTAGAGTGAAATCTCCAAGCTCAATTGTAAGGAAATTAAATCCTATAGGCAGTGAAAATGTAGTTGGCCTGCAGATACACATGGGTGCAAAGATATGTGGATGTATGTGGTATTGAATGAATTTTTGTTTGTAGTTAGGGAATGCTGGAGGGACCCACATGTTCAAATTTTGGAAACACATTAAGTGAATGGTGAATCCATAACATGAAATGTGGTGAAACCTTTCTTTTATTGAGGTAAAATTCCCCTAACATAAATTTCACTGTTTTAACTTATGCAAAGTGTGCAATTCAGTGATATCAAGTATATTCACAATGTTCTGTGACCATCACCAATATATAGTTCCAAGGCACTTTTGTTATTTCAATAAAGCCCTAAGCCAGGTGTCCATGGCTCATACTTGTAATCCTAGCTACTTGAGAGGCTGAGAGCAAGAGGATCATGGTATGGGAGAAGACGGGGCAAAAAAGTTCTCAAGACCCCATCTCAACCAGTAGTCAGATGCAGTGGTTCATGCTTGTCATCCAAAGCTATGCAGGAGACTGGAGTAATGAAGATCATGGTTCTGGGCCAGCTGAGATTTCATCTCAGTGGAAAAAAGCAGGGTATGGTGGGGAGCACCTGTCATCCCAGACATAGCAGGAAGCTTACAATAGGAGTATTATGAAATCAAGACCCCATCTCCCAAATCACCAGAACAGAAAGGGCTGGACATGTGACTCAAGCTGTAGAGTGGCTGCCTAGCAAGTGCAAGACCCTGAGTTCAAACTCAAGTACTTCCAAATAAAAACAAAATACCTCACATCAAACTGTACTGCAGAGCAATAAAAACAGAATGGTAATGGCACAAGAACAGACATAAAGACCGGTGGAACAGAATAGAAGACCCAGATATGAATCTACACAGCTATTCCCACCTGATTTTTGACAAGGGCACCCAAAACATATGTAGACAGAAGATACCTTCAACAAATGTTGCTGGAAAACTGTATATCTGCATGCAGAAAACTGAAACTAAATCAGTTTCTTTCACCCTGTACAAATATCAACTCAAAGTGGATTAAGGACCTTAATATAAGGCCAGGAACTTTGAAACTAGTGCAGTAAAGTGCAGAGAATACCCTGGAACTAATAGACATAGGCAATGATTTCCTAAGTTGAACTCAAATGGCTCAGCAACTAAGAGGAAGGATTGTCAAATGGCACTACATTAAATTTAAAAGCTTCTGCACAGCAGAAGAAATGGTTAACAGATGAAGAGGCAGCCCATAGAATGGTAGAAAATCTTTGCCAGATATACATCTGACAAGGGACTAATAACCAAAACATGTAGTGAACACAAAAATCTAAACTCCAAAAAAATCAATGACCTAATAAAGCAATGGGCAAAGGAACTGAAGAGAGGTTTTCAAAGGAAGAAATCCAAATGGCAAAAAAATACATGAAGAAATGCTCACCATCCCTGGCCGTAAAGGAAATGCAAATCAAACCACACTAAGATTCCACCCCAATTCTGTTAGAATGGCTACCATCAAGAACACAAACAACAATAAATGTTGGTGAAGATGCAGGGAAAAGGGAACCCTCATGCACTGCTGGTGGGAATGCAAATTAGTATAACCCCTGTGGAAAACAGTATGGAGGCTCCTCAAAAAACTAAAAATGGAACTGCCATGTGATTCAGCAATACCACTCCTAGAGATATAGCTGAAGGAATGTAGGTCTGGCTATAATAAAGGCACCTGCACACCCATGTTTATTACAGTGCTAGCCAGAATAGCTAAGCTATGGAAACAGCCAAGATGCCCTACTACTGATGAATGGATTAAGAAAATTTGTTTATACACAATGGAATTTTATTGAGCCATGAAGAATAATGACATTTTGTCATTTGCAGATAACTGGATGGAACTGGAGAGCATCATCTTATGTGAAGTTAGCCAGGTTCAGAAAGCCAAAGGCCACATGTTTTCTCTCATATGTGAAATACAGACCCAATACAAATAGAAGCAATATTATGAAAAACAGGTCATGCTAAGGGGAGGTCACATGTGAGAGAGGGAGGGTAAAGGGAGGAAGTTAAGAAGGTGAATATGGTCAATGTACTTCATATACAAGAATGAATATAGAATTTTTAAACCTGTTGAAATCACCATAAGAAGGAGACTAAGGTAGAAAGGAGAAAAACAGAGGGGATGAACCAATTTGGTTTATAATACTTATACACATGGAAATGTCACAAGGAAAGCAATGTACAAATATCTTACACAAACAAAAATGTCATTTTTTTACAAAATCTGAGAATAGAAGGGCAGAATATGTCCTGTCTAGGGGTTGGTACCAATAAGAGAGGGGAGAAGTGTGTAGGAGGGTGAATATAGTACAAATACTGTGTACACGTGTATGTAAATGGAAAAATGAGACCTGTTGAAGCTTTTTCAGGAAGGGGGCAAGGGGAGATAAAAGAATGATTTCCAATACCATCCATTTTCCTGTAATGACATAATTCCATATCTGTTATTGAGGATTTATAAGATTTTGGAGGTGTCACCTTGCCTTGCTTTTTCATGTTTCTTGTGTTTATACATTACAATTTTCCCATCTGTTGGGATCAGTATCTCTTTCAGTTTTTATGGGAATTTTCTTAGTAGGCATTCTTCTCTTGGGATTATGACTCCCACTACCACTCACAGGAGAGAAAGCAGAAAACAGTAACAAAAACAATTCAAAAATGAACCAGAACTTAAATCTGGCTTAAAAATGGAAATATCAACTATGCACCCAATACAGTTAGGAAAGAAAGGAACTATATTACCTATGAGATATTACTAGTAGTTTAAAATTATTAAAGCTATAAATGTTAATAATAGATAAAAATAAGAGATGAATAATGGAAAATAGAGCAGAAGCAAGATAGGAAAAAAGGACATTTATAAGGGATGAAAGTATAAGAAATAGTGAAGAGGAACACCATAAAATAACTACACAGTAAAACAAAACAGTCCAAAAAAAAAGAAAAACAAATCAAACAAAAAACACCAGTCAATATTTCTTCCTTGCTGAGGAGGAAGATGGTTCTGTTGATTTCTCTTTGTGGGTAGCAGCTGTTCATTCTTTCTGTAGTCCAAACAAGTTAGATCAGTAAGGGCTGTTTTCAGGCCAACCCCCTTCAGAGCAACAGCACTGGGTGATTTTCACCAACCTCAAGCCAAGGCAGTCTGCCCTGGCTGGGCAGGGAACAGGCTTCTGACTGATTTTGTGTGCCATGGCTTCCCAGTTCTCTGTCCTAATACCTCATTTACATTCACTCAGCTGGTCTCCTCTTATAGAGTCCCAGCTGCAGCTCCCCCTGTGAATTTCACATCTTCTACTTCTCACCCAAGTAGACTGTGCCCCTGAATCTAAGTCCAAGTAACAACCAGCTTCCTTAGTTCACTGATCCTTGGAATGGTGGTTTACTTATGTGATAAAGGAGGGAGACATTGGTAGTTTGGAGATATAAATGCAGAGCCTTCTTCTCAGCCAGGCTGAGAGTCTTGACTTTAAGACTTCTATAAAGGTGATTCCTCTCCAGCACCAGTGAGTGACACAGGACTTCTGAGGCCCCTTGTCTAGTGTTTGCTTATAGCATGGGATGCAGATCTCCTGTCTGAAACCTTATTTTGGCTCCTGAGACTTTTCTTTTCTCCCTTACTTGTGTCTCATTGTACAGGTCCCCCATCTTCCCTGTTATTTTGCTTAGTGCTTTATGTTGGGGTCCTTTGCTTCTTTTATAAATTTAAAGCTCAATACTTCTGAATTTCACCTGGTCTCTAATTGTGTTCTGTTTATTGTCCCCACTCTTGTCTTTTCATGCCACTTTTCCCTGCATCCATGCAGCTTGTGTTTTGTTTCAGATTCTTGGAAATACAAAAAAAATGCTGGGTAACTCTATTCTACCATCTTCAGAACCCCCAATGTAATTTTGATTCACATTTCCCTGATAGGTAAACATGTGGGACATTTTTTCATGTATTTATTAGCCATTTATATTTCTTCAATTGAAGACTGTCTGTTTGGCTTATTTGCTCGTTTCGTGTTTAGTTTTTTAGTTCTATGTGTATTCTAGGTATTAATCCCATTATATGAATAGCTGCCAAAGATTTTCTCCCATTCTGTAGGCTGTCCCTTCATTCTGTTGATTATTTTGCTGTTCAGAGTCTTTTTAACTTGATGTAATCCCACCTGTTAATTCTCTTTCTTATTTCTTGAGCTATTGGAGTCATATTCAGAAATTCATTGCCTATACTCTTAAAGTGTGTCCTCTCCATTTCCTCTAGGAGCTGCAAAGTTTCAGGTCTTACATTAAGGTCTTAGATGCACGCTGACTTGATTATTGTCACAGGGAGAGAGAGAGGGATCCAGTTTCAGACTTCTACCTGCAGATGTCCACTTTTCCCAGCACCACTTGAAAAGCAGATGGTCTTTTCTCCATGGCAATTTTGGCACCTTTGTCAAGAATCAGATGGCTGCAGATGCTTGGGCTTACTTCTAGATCTTCTATTTCTGTGGCCTGCATATCTGTTCTTATGCCAGTACAATGCTGTTTTTGTTATTATGGCTCTGTAGTATGTTTGAAGTTAGGTGTTTTGATAGCTCCAGCATTGCTCTTTTTGTTTAGGATTGCTTTGGCTATTCAGGTCTTTTGCATTTCCATAAAATTTTTAGGATTATTTTTTTCTATTTCTGTGAAGAATGTCAGTGGAATTTTGGTGGGTATTGCATTGAATCTATATATCACTTTTCATAATAGTGGACAGTTTCACAATATTAATTCTGCCAGTCCATGAACCTGGAAAGTATTTCAACCTTCTAATGTATTGTACCATTTCTCTCTTCAGTGCTTTATATTTTTAAATGTAGAAGATAAATATTCCCTTCTAAGGCATCTGAAATCCCTCAGCATTTCAGAGTGGGACACATATATCCCTGGAGCAGGGTTTCTACATCTTGGCAATACTGATGTCTTTTTAACATTTTTTGTTAAGTTTATTATTAACTTTTAAAACATTTAATATTGAAAAGAGTCAGATACTCACAGAGAAGAAACGAATATGAGCAGGATACTGACAACAAACTCTAGATGATTTTTAAGAACTATGGTTCTTACAATGAACTATAATTGAATGAGGAAGTGAAGAAAAATGAATGATATATAAAAACAAAATAGTTCCACCTCTCTAAAGTAAAATAATACATATGGAACTAAAAATAGTAAGATAGTGTATTTCACATATTAAATCAGAAAAAAACTAAACAAAAACAACAAATGCCAGTGTTGGCAATGCTGTAGATAAGCATGTAGTATTAGACTTGGAAACAAACTTTCTGGAGATCAAATTGCAGTATACACTAAAAGCATAAAAATACACTCTGTTAATTAGAGAATTAGTGTTGTAATTAAATAACTATGACATGGAAGGATTTACATAAATGCATATTTCAAGAAAACCAACATAAGTGTCCCTGAGAAAGAGATGATTTAAGTAAGTTGTGTTGTTTCTTTACACTGAAATGTTATGTAAAAAATATTGCAGAAGAATTTCTAATTAAATAGGAAAGTGTTTGTGACATTACTGCAAAATAATTCTTTAAAAATGATTCTGTGTCTTATAAATTATTCACAGTGAATGCATTAATATTTGAAATGTATGAAACCCTCACTGTTCTTAATAATTGTGCCAAATGCTTTATAATTCCCAAAAAGCAAGTGATATTGAAGCACTCTACCTATGAGCAAACTGAGCTTCAGAGAGGTTGTGTAACTTGCCTAAGATCACATAGATCATAAATTGCAGATCTGTTGTTGGAGCCTTGACATCTAAACCCCATGCTATTCTACACTGGCCTCATTGCTTCTCTGTCTGGGACAAGGACCCAGCATACAAAAGGTGTTCAATGATCTTTTGTGAGAAGAAGGAAAATAAACTAGATAAGGACAGGAAACCAAGGAAGGCTGCACCTGGTGTCTTTGAGTATGGAGACTTCAGCATTGATGCTGGAAAGCTTCTGCCTCAGGACCCACAGTGTCCAAGTTAGGAGGATGGTGTTGATCTACAAAGTCAAGCAAATGAATTCAGAGACTGGATGCACAAATGACAATGGCAGATATAAAGGAAGAACTCTGACCCACAATCTCTAGAAACCAATTCAGGAAGCCTCTCAGTGACCCATGTAGCAACAAGCTCAAGACAACCAAGACTCGATTAATAATGTACAGCTTCCCTAGTTTCTGCCCCTGCTTCCAATACAGGATCAGCAGTAGAAAGCCAGTTTGCACCCCTTCCACTCTTAAAGATACCCCATTCCTAACTAGCCCACTTGCAGCTTCCCCATGCCAAAGCCTCCACTGGGGCATACCCAAAGCCTTTTCTTTTGCTTTAAAGCCTTTCCACTCCTCTACCTGACCTTGACTATGCTAAATGCAAGTGGTGGTGGTGGACACCTTCATTGCTATATATAGCAATCTTAGAATAAATCGCCTTTAATTATTCACACATGCATTGTCTTTATTTCCACAGGATGAACCCCATAACTTAGAATCAAAACCAAGGTACAGGACATAGACTGTGAACTTGAATCTTGTTTACCCTCTTCTAAGGCCCTTCCTCAGCATCTCAGAGTGGGATACACATGCTCCATCTTGGTAATACTGGTGTTCGAAGTATGAAAAGGGAAACTGGCTGTCCTGAATATTGTGGGATGTAGAACAGCATCCTTGGCCACTACCCTCTTAATCTCAATAGGACCACCCACCTACTGTGACAACCAAAAATGTCCCCATACTTTTTAAGTATCCCCTGAAGGACAAAACTGCCAATGCCAAGGAGAAGGGGACAGCTGTTGCTATAGGGGAATTATTGTCCCCAATGAGTAAAACTTGCAGGACAGCCTAATGTCTTTGAAGATTTGGGAATGAGTGAGATTAATATTCCATTATTACTATTGTTATTGTTATATTATTATTATTGCTTTCACCTACTATTTATTGAGCACTGCCCAATTGTACTAAATATCTCACATACATGGTTTGATCCCCAAATCCATGCCCATAAGAGAGGGCAGAAGAACTTGGCATTTAGAGAGAACAGAAAATCCTCTAGTACGTATGGAGAACTGACCATGCAGGAGGGGGCAGAAGGAAGACACTGGGGAAGCTGGGCAGGGCCAAGTGGAGGAGAACCATCCGTGCCTGGCTAAATGAATAGGTGTCATCCTGAGAGCAATGTAGAAACCACAGATAGGTACAGTAAGATGTCCCCATCAAATGGGGTAATTCAGACAGAGGCAGGCATGCACAGAGGGAAGACAATGGCAAGTAGAAGAGTATCAGGGTTAACTTGGGGTTTAGAAATACCATTCTGAAAAATATTCTCACTACCAGTCACCAGAACTTCTGGACAATATCCAACAGGTGTCCTCGTAGACTCATAACTGAGATTGCATAATGATAAAATAATTCCAAAAAGCCATAACTGAAGAGTAATTGTTAAGACAGAGTACTACAGCTGCTCCAAAGGTATTTCCAAAAACCAGGAATCTAAATCCTTGAGGACTCAATGGCCATTCATGAAAAAAAAGGGCAAGCCTTTCATTCCACATAAGGTGGAACATCTGTACCTAGCAAGGGCTGATAGACCCATTCTGTCTGAAGCACAAAGCATGGATGAGATTGTGGTTCCTCCAAAAAGCTTTTACATCTCAGCATGAAATAAATGTCACAAGTCAGAAATATTACAATCTAATTTGGAAATCTCAGGCATCAAAGATCATAAGAGAACTCTGGCAGGGAACAATGGGTCTTCTGAGCTTTGTACTTTGTTGACACCTCCTAATCGCTGGGATTTCCTTGCTACTCCTCCAGAATACACTCCACCAAATAATTTGCTTACCGTTATGATCATGCAAACTGGCCCAAGGAAACTCCAGATGAACCCAGTCTCTGTGTTCAGCCAGCAGCTATGGAGAGAAACAGGAGGTGTGAGCACTTGTCTCAATCTTGACTTTTCAGTTAGTCCTGCCCCCAGCAAATGCACTAATGTAGAAGGACTTTGGGAGGTAAGATTTATTTGGAAATTCTCATGATAAGGTAGGTTGCATTGTAGTTTCCTTTGGACCACTGTCCTCTTTCAGACCTTCTTGTTTGGCAGCAAGAATCCATAAATCCATAAATCTTCACGTGGAGGTCAAGCTCATTATAGTTCATAACTTTTGTGATCCTTTTTGTCCTTCATGCAAACCTCTCTAGTAGTGCACCAATGTCACATCTGATGAGAAGTTACTCCTGACCATCCTATCCAAGCACCTAGTCCTTCTCTAACAGATCTCACTGCATGTTTTAAATAGCTATCATATCACAAATTATTTTGTCCAGTTGTTCATGTACTTGTAATTTTTCTGCTACACTATGAGCTGCATGAGAATTAAGAACTTGGATGTTTACTTCAATATGTTTGTTCTATAACAAAGCAGTACCAGTGAAAATCCTGGCATTGACCATAATTGCTTACTACTAGAAGGAAGGGAAAAGGGAGGGAGTGTAGAAGGGCAGGAGGAGGGAAAGGACTGACTGACTCTATCATGTCTCTAATATGTATTTATTGATTTTACCACGCAGCAACCATTCTGCCATGCTCAATAATAGCACCCCAATATTGCTTTAATGGAAGTATTATACAAACAAGAAAACAGTCAAGTTCTAGCCCTAGAATACTGAGTCTCTAATTGTCAGTCTGCAGTGCTGTATATGGTGGTCCTGAGACCAAAAATACTGAGATGGATTAGAGAGACTCAGTTCTCCCTGGGGCACTGGATCAGGAGTTGAACATTGTTACAGCAGTGTTAAATACTGTTAAGTCACTGTTAATGTTATTGATAAGTCTTTATTGTAAGCACCCTTTTGATGTCTACTTTTCCTTTATACAAGCTAAGATGTTGGAGGCCACAATGACATATCTCTAATTTATATGTTAGTCCCTTTCCTGGTGCCATGACTGCCTTGAGCAAAGGACTACCATCCAAGAAGCCAACAAGACTGCCCTCATGCCACCCCACTGTTTGAACACTCCACTGATGCTTTGAGGAAATTGCATGGCAACCATGGATGCTTCCTGCCAAAGTACAACTGGGGTTCCAGAATGCACTGTCCTAGTCATGTCTGTTTCAAACATCTTACACCAAATATTTGCCACCACAAGCCTCACTGAACTGTAACAACCCTCCAGCTGTTTTCATCCACACCAAAGGGGGAGCACTTCCCCTGGTGTCCCTGTGAAAGGCCTGTGACTGGTGCAAACACAGTCCTTCATTTTCAAGAGGGAATGTGGCCTGATTGGCCTTCATTTGCATGAGGAACTGTGCCTTGATTTATGCAGATGCAATCCTTCATTTACAGGAAGGCTTTCCACAACTGACTGAGCTGGTAATATGAAGTGAAGACTGTTGAAGTGGCAGCTGAATGGTAGAAATGGCAAAGGCAGCAGCAGTGGTTATGTCAATAAGAGTGCCTCTGAAGAGTTACAGTCAGTGGCCATGGCAGAAACAGTGGACTCAGTGATAAGAGACAGGGCTGTGAAGAGTTAAAGATGAAAAACTGAAATTGGTCACTGGAAGACTTCCAGAGAGCTGCAAAGCCTTAAGGGCCAAGGGTTTTGGACACCCTAGGTCTGATAGCTAGAACACTGTCAAGAGCTAAGGATCCTCATACCCTGAGCCTGAGGGCTGTAACACTACCCACTGTCAAGGGTTGAGAATCCTAGGCCCAAGAGATGCAACACTTGTCACTTTAGGGCTGAGGACTCCAGCCTGAGGCCTGTCTGCGAGCTGTAACACTAGCAAGCACCACTTATTGCTGCTTGCTGCCACCACTCACTGCTGCTGGAAGCTGAGGATTACAATAGCTGCCAAATGACAGGGCCACTGGTGGTTAAGGCCTGGAGCAATAAACCTCTGATCTCATGCCTACAGCCATAGGTCTCTGGCCTCTAAAGCCTGGGGCAACAGGCCCCTAGCTCTCAGTGCTTGGAGCTTTAAGCCTCTGTGTCTTCCAATCCAGCTCCTAGTCCTTGGACACTCAGGGCCTGGCACTGCTAGCACTGGAAAAGCTTCTCCTTGCCCACTTACAGTTTCTTATGAGTAGAGTAAAAGGACCCCATCCAGATGACTAGTGATATTACTCCTGCTAGAATTATTGCTCTTCTTATTCACATAATTACCTGGCAGCAGACTTTTGGGGAGAAAGAGAATGCCACTTACCGATTATGCATCCCATAGCCCTGTGGTTGCACACTGGCAGAGACAGTGACCACCAGTCCTGGGAGCCCATAGCCAAATGCACAGAGGTGCCATATCTTGATGTTGCGAGAGCTGAGGTAATTCACCGCCTTCAGGTTCCTCACCATCAGGAAAAGCATCACAGCCTCCACCAGCATCCAGAAGAAGCAGGCGAGGAAGAGGTAGTGAAGAAATCCTGCAATGAGGGCACAGCCCATCTGCAGAGAAGTAGGCTCATCAGGACGGTGCACCCAGGGAGGTCAAGGGAGAGAGAACAGGGGACAGACTACTTTGATTGGATTTTCCCCAATCATGGCCCATTCACTCATTCCACAAATACTTCTAGCAGCATAAGGTGGTTCATAATCAGAAGCAGGCCATTTCTTGATAGTGTGACCCTTGTGCTACTTGTCTATAATTAAATTTCCAGGGACATGTGACTTTCAGTGATACAATTAGGAACATTTGGGAGGAAATTAGACAACTGACCACCCTACTTAAAGAATGTTTGAAGATATTGGGGTGGGGTTAAGCAAACTAAAGCCCATTAGGCTGGCTGCCTGCTCTGTAAGTAATGTTTTATTAGCATCCAGCCACTCCAATTTACATATTATCTATTTTAATACCCCACAGTAGCATCATGGAGTAGTCATGACAGAAGCCTTATTATCCAGAAAGCTGAAAATATTTACTTTCTGATTACTTAAACATATATAGATTGTTTAACCAAGTGATAAGGAGATGCTAATAGCATTTAATACTCAAGGGGCCAGGAAGTTAAACATCCCACAGAGAGAATGATAGTTCTGCATCAAGAATGCCCATCTCACCCTAAATATCAACAGCACTCCTTGTGAGAATCTGTCTCAGACGTGACTATATGGGCACAAATGGGCAAGTCCTTGTCCTCATGAGATCTCAATCTAGTGAGTTATGTATTCACATAATGAATACAACAACCAATAATCAACATGGCATCAATGTAGTGGTGAAAGAGAAAACAAAATGTAGTGGTAGAAAGGAGTGAAGATTCTCAACCACTGATTATTCACATTTTTAATGCTGCTTGTATTGCTTCTCTGATGGGGATTGGGAGTTGTCCGCCATAATGTGGGATTTTTAGCACACCCCTGACCTCTACCAATAGCATCCTACCTGAGTCACAAGATTCCAAAATGTGTCTAGACATTGCTAAGTGTCTCTTGAAGGGTAAAGTTACCATGGGTGAGAAACACTGGTTAAGAAAATAATAGAAGGGACCCTGCAATTCATGACATGATCAGGGAAGTGATTTCAAATGGATGCCTATCCCAAGAAGTCAAGCAGGTGAGAATTTGTGGAGCATTAATGGGCACGAGTCACAGCATTGCAAAAGTCCTTCAGGAGGGAATTGGGCAGGGATACACAGAGGAAGATGGGGAGGTGATGGGGCTAGATGTGCACATAGCCCAAGGAATTCTGACCTGGTTGTCGGTCTTTTCTATAGCGATGAGGAAGAGAAGCTTGGCCAAGAAGAGACTCACGCAGAGGTGCAGATGGAGGTAGGTGTTGTGGTTACGAATGGCACGACAGAACAGGAAGGTAGCAATGGCCAAGCTGAGGCACACCAAGGAGGTGACCATACCCACATGGCTAATGACATACAAGGAGAACTCCATCTGTCAGGAAGGAAATCTGTCATTGGCCTCACAATGGGATCAAAATTCCCCCAGGCAGAAAAAACTTATCCAGACCTCTCTATTTGGCAGAAAGGGCCCAGAGCCTTTTCTTCCTCTGACACTCAGAATGAACTAGACATTGTCCACCACCATCCTTTATAACTCATTGGCATCACTCAGCACTCATTTTCACCCCTCTTGTATGATCCACCCTCTGTATTGATGGAGCTAGACATCTGCAAACTACATTTCTTAGAGCCTCTTAGGGTAAGTTCCTGAATGTAACTTAGATTCTCCAATGAGGTGCATCCTTGACAGTCTGGGAAGGCAGAAAAGAGATAAATACAAGCTTTCTACAGATAGAAGTGAGTTATGGCTGGACTTCATATTCCAAGTATCCATTGCCCAATTACATAGGGTCAGAGTGCACATAAGAGCAGGAATTTCTAACCCCTAAATTAAAACTGCAGAAGGTGACCTTGAAGCTAAAATCCAAGTATCATCCTTCTAACTTCAACTCCTCCATCCCCATTGTTATTTTGTGAGCACTCAGCTGCCTGTGTTAAATCCCTCTCTTCCAGAAATACTTGAAATAGTTTCTGCTTCTTGCACTGAATCTGATGGATACACAGTTACAAAAAGACACTCCAACTTTGGGGAGTGGGACATGAAAAGCTAAGACTTTCCCCTATGCCATTTATTCAAGGTTAATTTTTAATTTAATGGCAAATTGAGTTTAATGCTTTCTCTGCATTAAAGATATATCAGGCCCTATACCATGAACTCCTCTACATGATATCATCACAATACTGCCAGTTTCCAGCCATGTGCATTTGGATGAGACATTTGCTGCTTTGGGCCTCAGTTTACTAATATCTTCAAAAAGAAGATATTAATACCAACTGCTTTGTAGGGTTGTTTTAGGAGCATTAAGTGAAAACATAAGGTATTTATGAATGTCCCAGTAATATTTTAAGCACTCTATAAGTGTTGTTGTCATTTGTTTTTTTCTTAGTCTCAGTCTTGACATTGACACAAGAGAATTGGGTTCAGCTCAAAGAGGTTAAGTGACTTAGCCAAGTAAACACAGCTGTGAAGTGACAGATAAAAGACCTAAAACTAGGCCAAGCTTTCTCTGGATTTAATTCCCCCATGTCCTAAGCCACCTGGTCCTCCATATAGCATTTAGTGCCTCCCTGGCAGGGAACTGAGCCTCACTTCTAGCGTGATAGGTAAGAATACTTCCTGCATTAATGAGGATGTCTTTCCTTTCTATCAAATCCACCCAAGCACATCACAGTCATAGTCTTCCTGCTCCCTATTCCATCAGCAACTCTCACTGAAAAACCTCTGAATTCCTAGAGTACAGCCTTTTGCTCAATTTGTGTAGCTCAGTAGAAAAAGAACTTTGAAGTTAGACTTTGCCCAGGTATTAATCCCACCTTGACCCACTACTAGCTTCATAAGGAGGGAAACTACTGAATCTCAATCTACCATCCTGAGAAATGGGTCAAAAACAACTAGCTTAAACAAAGGTCCAGCATATAATGGTGCTCATTAGATGAGACTTGTGCTATGATGTTTAGAACCATTATTTTCTGATGTTAAATTAGAATGTGGCTTCCCAGCCAGATCATGAATACTCTGAGATCCCAGGTATGGCACATGTCCCTCTGTCCCCATAGCTATCTCTTCCAACACCCAGTTCCATTAGGGACACACAAGACATTCAGTCAATATTTTCCCACTGGATTTTTGACCTGATACTTGGAGAGCCAGAGAACAGATCATCAGTACTGACCGTGAGCTCCCCAGAAGCCATGATAATGGCTAGGTTTGCCATCCGGTGACAGCTACAGACTGTGTGCGTCTCAGAAGCCTCCAGGATCTCACAGCCAGATGTCATCCACCTCCCATCCTCCACATCTGTACTCCAAGAAACACATATGGGTCTCTCCAACTCCTGCTTGGGCTGAAAAATCAAAGGGCCTGGTGACCTTAGAATTCTTCTCAATAGATTCATTGTGACCAACCTCAAGAGCCACTTGGGAAAAGATGCTATGGGATATGTTCTGTAGGGAATGGAAAAAATGGTATTCCAGTATGCAGTAATGTCCACTCTGATGGAGCAGCCCACATTCTTATTGCTGTGATAAAACACTCCATGCACTAAATTTATGGCAAAAATATGAGAGCTTACCATAAAAAGCAAAAAGGGGTGGGGAAGTGGCTCAAGTGACAGAATGCTTAGCAAGTGCAAAACCTGAGTTCAAACCCAAATACTGCCAAAACAGAAATTGTGGAACCTTGCTGCCTTCATGGTCCCCATCAAAAAAGAAAAAGCCTTTTAAAAAAGAGTTCATCCACAATAATGCATTGCATATTTCAAAAAGATAAGAGAATCCCGAGTTTTCTGACACAGAAGCGATACGTGCTAGAGGAGATGGAAACAATAATGGTCCTGATTTGACCATCACACTTCGTACACATGTACTGAATTATCACACTACATCCTGTATATATGTACAAATATGATGTGTTAGTTAAAATTTAAAATCTGCGTTAAACATTTGTTATGGTTTGGATGTGAAGTATCCTCCAAAAGGCTCAGGTGTTGAAGGCTTGGTCCCTGGTGGTGGATCCAATTGATGAGAGGTAAATGGCTCACCGTGAGGGCTCTGTCCTAATCAATAGGCCATTCACTGATGGATTCATAGTCTGAGGGCATTGTCAGGAGGCAGTGGAGCCTAGGAGATGAGGCCTGGTTGGAGGAAGTAGGTCACTGGGAGCTGCCTGTGAAGGGGAAACTTTGGCCCTTGTCCCATTCCTGTCCCTTCCTCTCTGCTTCTCAGCTTCCGTGAGGTCAGCAGCTTTCCTCCACTACACACTTCCCCCATGGTGCTCTGCCTCACCCCAGCCAGAAACACAGAGCTAAGTACGTACCGTGCACTAAAACCTCTCACACTGTGAGCCCAAAGTTGATTTTCTCAGGTATCTTGTCACAGTCACCAAAAATTGACTAACAACAATTAGATAATAGACACATGTATTGAAAACATTGTGTAATACTTCATTAATTTGCACAGTTATGTTTTTGTACCAGTTAAAAACAAATTTAATTTTTAAAAGGTCCTTGAGGAAAGATAATTGTGGCAATGGACGTGTATCGTATCTTGGCTGAATCAATTCCAATATCCTGGCTCTGACACAGTACTACAGTTTCACAAGATGCAGCCATTGAGAGAACTCAGTACAGGGTATATGGAGGTTCTCTGTACTGTTTTTTACAACTGAATCTGTGATTATTTCAAAATAAAAAGTTTAATTTTTTGAAACAAGTGGCCACGGAGGGAATAGGAAATTCCCAGTAGATGGACAGGGGCTTCTAAGGCCTCTTCACAAACCTTTATGTTCTCCAGAGTGTAGATAATGGGGTTTGAGAAGCCATCCTTCTTCTCCCCTGTCATGATGCCCCCAACAATGCGGGAATTCATCTTCAGCTTCCTCTTGGAGTTGGCCCAGGAGGTCTGAGGGTCTTGGAAGAAACGTTCATCCAAAATGGACTCCATGTTTGCAAAGGAGACAAAAGCCACTCCAGTGATCCCTGTGGGTTCCCCCAAATGGAAATCATTTGCTCAGTAGTTATGGTAGATGACGCAACACACACTCATACACATACACACTCTTACACACACATGCTCACTCATACATGTATAGTCACGCACATACACATTCACTCATACACATACACACTCATACACATACACATTCATACAACTGCATACACAAATTCACTCAAAAACTGATGTACTCAGTCTCACACACAAATGCTCACACACTCAGTCTCACACACTCACACATGCTCAGTCTCACACTCACACAAATGCTCACTCATACAGTGACACAGTCTCACACACACAAATGCTCATGCATACATTCTCACAATCACAAATGCACTATCACACACACACACACAAACACTGACACAGCTCTCACCCACACAAATCCTCACACATTCAAAAACACAATCACACAGAAACACACACTCACATATGTACACATGCACTCACAATCACATGTACACACACTATCACATATTCACACATGCATTCTTACACATGTACACTCAAGCATACACACATACTCCCACACACATTGTACACACACTCACATACGCAGTATCACACACATATGCACACACACACCCGTACACATTCTTACATGCATACTCATGCACTCACACATACAGTCTCATTCACACAGGCACTCACACACACACACACAATTTTAAGATTCCATGCACCTTGATGGTCTAAGGACTGAAATACCAGGCCAGCCTGGGTTGCAGTAGTGAGTTCAAGATAACCCTTGATCCAAGAAGTTGAACTCAGAGCCTCAAGCTTGCTAAACACATGCTGTACCACTTGAGCCACTCCACCAACCACATTTCATTCTTCTTTATGGCTCAATAATACTCCATTGTGGATATATATATATATATATATATATATATATATATATATATATATCACATTTTTTACTCATTCAACAGTTGATGGGTTTTAATATTTGACTTCCCTAGCAGATAGAAAATTCTCTGAGAGCGTGAGCCATTTATGCCTCCACTGTGATTCTCAACCACTTAGACATATAGATGTGATCAGTAAATATTTGTAGATTTGTGATGCACCATCACAGGGATTCTCAGGAGTAGGACTTTACCTGCAGATTCAGATTCTTCAATGATGGAACACCCAATCTTTATCTCATCCCCTTTGGCTTTCAAGTGAAAGGACACATTGGTTTCATTGCATTCTTCATTGATAACTTTGCTTTCAATATCTGAAAAGAGAAATGAAGAGTTTGCATAAGGTCACCCAGAAAGTGGGTGCTTAATTTGGTTTCTGACTAAGAAAGATATACATCCGTCGTTGCAAGAAAAGTTAAAAACTGAAAAGTCAATTCATCCTGGGAACATCTTGAGGACCTTAATTAATGCTGGGGACATCAGCACCCAACAGTGAGGAGCCTAGCTGGAGTTTTAGAAATGAGCTCTCACATCTTACAGGGAGCATCAGAAGATGAAGTTGAGGTCAATTGCTATAGTCTGAATCTGGAATGTCTTCCAACAACACCTGACATGAGGGATTGGTCCTTATCCCGCTGCACCATTAGGATGGGGTAAACTCTAAGAGGTGGGTCTGGTGGGAGGAAATTAGGTCATTGGAGGTGCCCCTTAAAGGTAATATTGAGACTATAGCCCCTTTCTGTCTTTCTCTTTTTTTTTTCCAGTCACCATGAGGCAAGTAGCTCCTTCTGCCCCATGTTTCTTCCATGATATAGTATTTCACTACAGATCCAAAAACAATGGAACCAAACATCTGTGGATACACAATTTTGGCTCTGAAATTATGAGCCAAAAGTCAACCTTTGCTCTTCATAAATTGATTTATCTCGGGCATTTATTATAGTAATGGAAAGCTAACCAGTACATCAACAGTAATCTAATGCAACAGAGTTGTGATCTTCTAGATGCTCCAAGTTCACATAAGTTGTCCAAATCCAAAGGAAAAAGGAAGGGATTGGGGCATGTCCAACATGGCAGACAAGGGCCAAGTCTCTGCCTTCAGGTGGAGGTAACTCCTAGGGTGTGACTTGCTGGCACAGTGCATATCAGGCATGTGTGAGGCCCTGGATTCCATCCCTACCACTCCCAAAAAATAGATGGAAGTGACTACTATGTCCAGTTCTGCCACCCCCAGATGTTGTAAATTTAAGCAATTACTTAACCTGCCTAAGCCTCCTATTTCTCATTAGTAATATAAAAATAACTGCAGGAGCTTGAAGAGCCATTGGCTCTTCATGAAAATGAGATGACGGAACCAGAAATATCCTTTTAAAGGATAAGCCAGATAGTGCCATGCTTTTCTCAAATTCCCCAGTGCCTCCCCAATCTTACTTCAAATAAAATCCTATGTTCCCACATTTAACTACAAAAGCTTCCTCCCTTTCTTTTTGACTCCTTTCTCCTACAGATCCACCATCTTCTGCTTCAGTCAGATGGTATCTTCACTGTTCCTTGAACTCACCATATATTCTTGAACTTGCTCTTCCCTCAGGGACCATGCCTGGGTTAGTCAGACTTCTATCATTGTGACAAATCCCTGAGAGAAATAGATTAAAGGAGGAAAGATTTGTGTAGGCTTGTGGTTCCAGAGATTTCGGTCCATCATGGAAGAAGGGCATGGTGGAGCAAAGTTGGTCACCTCACAGTGGCCAGGAAGCAAAATTAGATACAGAGAGTGAGCCTGCCTGTGTTCGTAAGCTTTTTCCTTCTTCAATCCAGACCTCCAGCCTATTGGATGGTGTCTCCCACATTCAGGGTGTATTTTCCCCCTTAGTTGTCATGCATGCCAGTAATATCTGGAAACACTCACACAGACACACTCAGGAGTGTGCTTTTGTTGACAATAAGATTAACCATCATGCTACTCCAATGATATCTCCCTTAACCACACTGTGTAAAACAGCAGCTTTCCCCGAGTCCTTTCTAACCTCCCTTAACCTTTTGGATTTTCTTAACAATTCTATATCTGCTATACCATATGCCTGTTTGTTTATTGATAGAGTCACCTCACCAAAATATAAGACTCCCAAGACTAATTTTGCTCTCTACTGGTGAAAGCCCACAAAATATTCTATTTTCACCTGTTGATCTTCTAAGCGTCCATTAGAATAGAACTTTCTGAGATTATGAAACTTCTTGATACAGAAATTACTACTACCAGGTATGGGTAACTGCTGCAAGAGATCTACAGTACCCAGCACTCCCAAGTGGTAATCCCTGAAGCATGCATCAGTCAGGAAAGGAGCAGCCATGTAGCTGTAACAGACAGCTTCACATCTTTATGGATTAACAATGACATTTATTTCTCATTAATGCTTTGAGTCCATTCTGAATAGATTTGGACACTGATCTTCATAATCTTATGTCTGGGACTCAAGCCAATATAGCAGCTGTCCTGGGAAACACTGCCAGTGACTAAGGCAGAGGGAAAGAAAGTTCTAGAAGGTCTCATAGGTGACGGTTGTTCAGGCCAGCAACTATAGCCTGAACCAGTCACAAATTTTCATCTAACCCCACACCAGGAAGTATAATCCTACCATGGGCCTAACAGAGCTGGAAATATTTAAACATGGTAAATGACTAACATATCTTAATCCACCTGCAATAGGCAATCATGAATGAGTTAATGACACTCTGATCTTCATGCCTGGCCCTTGCCAAGCACTCAATTAGTAGAAAATGTCTTTCAGCTCACAGTAGGGCTCAAGTGGTACAGTACCTACCTGGCAAGCACAAGGGCCTTGAATTCAAAACCCAGAACTGCCAAAAATGGGAAATGTCTTCAGTATGATCAGACCTGCTTTGTTGTGGTTGTGGGCTTTTTCAGCAGTTGAAGCAAATGTTTGTGAGAAAGCTATGGAGAATCCCATTACCAAGGTCACCCCTCAAAATCAGCATCCAGGTGTGGTCTTGCCCAGAAGGGTACATGTTACCTAGGTATTCCGTGTGAATAGTCTGACTGACATTCACTGAGGGCTTCAGAAAAGAGTCTAAAATGGCACTTTCCACACTCTCCAGTAAGACTGTGGCCAGGGTGGAAGTCTCTTCCTTCGTGAAATTGGTCCATGTGGGTGTTTGTTTGAGCACAGAGGCAAAGGTCTCAACTTTACTCTGCAAGAAAAGACATAATGAGGCTCTGACTTCTGACTAGCACTCCAGTTGCTCAGGATTAAGAGCAAGAACTGACAGATGGGATTGCATCAAGTTAGAAAACTTCTGCACAGAGAAAGAAATAGTCACCAGATTGAAGAGACAAGCTACAGAATAGGAGAAAGTCTTTGCAAACTATTCATTGTACAAAGGATTAATATCCAGAATATATAAAGAGATCAAAAAATTAAACACCAAAAGAACAAATAATACAGTTAAAGGAGGACAAATGAATTGAACAGACAGTAATCAAAAAGAAGTACAAATGACCAATAAAAACATGAATAAAGGATTTTCAACATCCTTAGCCATAAAGAAAATGTAAATCAAAACTGCATTGAGATTCCATCTCACCCCAGTCAGGATGGCTATTATCAAGAAAAAAATGGCAACAAATGCTGGAGAGGATTTGGGGGAAAAGAAAACCTCATACACTGTTGGTAGGAATGCAAACTAGTGCAACCACTGTGGAAATCAGTATGGGGGATCATCAAAAACTAAAAAAGATCTACCTTATGATCCTGCTGTAACACTCCTATAACTACATCCAAAGAGTTGTAGGTCAGCATACATTAGACACCTGCACACCCATGTTTATAGCAGCACTGTTCACAATAGCTAAGCTATGGAATTAGCCTAGGTGCCCATCAACAGATGAATGGGTGAAAATGTAGTATATATACACAATGGAGTTTTATAGCCATAAAGAATGGAATTGTGTTGCTTGCAATAAAATGGATGGAACTGGAGATCATCAAGTTAAGCAAAGTAAGCCAGACTCAGAAAGACAAATACCCCTTGTTTTCCTTCTAGGGAATCTAGACATAAAAACAGGAAAGGAATGCAAACACAGAACTGTATGGGAGGGAGCCAGTGGGAAGGTGGAGGTGAAAGGAGAGGCTGATGTATGAAAGAGAATAAATAAATCCACTAAATTGTAATTGAAAAGGGAGGGAGGAAATAAAAGGGGGATTTGATCAAAGTGCATTATATGCATGTGGGAAAAATCACAATGAAACCCCTTTGTTAGGTCAGACATGATGACTCACACCTATAATCCCAGCTACTTAGGAGGCAGAAATCAGGAAATGGTGGTTTGTGACCAGCCCAGGAAACCAAGACCACAAGCTGACATGGTGATACCTGTGGTTACAGCTACATGGGAGTCAAACATAGGAGGATCACAGTCCAAGGCTGGCCCTGGTCAAAACTGTAGACAACATGGAGAGACCTTGGGGACACTATGCTCAGTGAAATGAGCAAACATAGAAGGTCATGCACTGCAGGACCCACTCACAGGAGGCCCTTAGAGTCATCAGAGCCACAGAGACAGGAGGTAGAAAGGCGGGCGCCAGGGCCAGGGAGGGCAATAGGCACCAGTTGCTGAATAAGAGCAAGGCTTCCTTTAGGAGTGATGCAAATGTTCCAGAACATGATGATTGTTTTTAAAAAATCACATTTTTTTAAAATAGAGCTATTGACAAATACAACATGAATGAATCTAAAATGCTTGATGCTTAGTGAAAAAAGCAAGGTACAGAAGTCCACATACTATGTGACCCCATTTATAAAACAAAATTTTTGGAGACAAGATCTAACTGACAGGCTAGTTTGAGGCTGGCCTCAAACTCTTGATCCTCCCAAGGATCAAGTTGCTTGTGCCTCCCAAGTGCTGGGATAACAGGTGTGCACCACAACTGGTTTACATTTATATAAAATTCTTGAAATGACAAAACTGCCCTGAGAAAGAACAGTGAGAGAGAGTTGGGGTTGGTAATGGAGGAAGTATCTAACTCTAAAACAGAAAGCCGGGACCTGGCTTGTGCTCAGTGGTGTGCACTTGCCTAGCATTTGTGAGGCCCTGGGTTCCATCCCCAGCTCTACAAAAAAAAAAAAACAGATGGCGTAGGAGACACTCAAGGGAATTTTTGGAGGAAACAGTGCTGACTATATCACGATTAGTGTGGTAGTTTCACTTCTCTGTTCAGGTAATAGAACTCATAGAACTGTAAACCCAAAAAATAAGAAGTAATTTGACTATGTTCACTTTTTAAATCTTAAAATTGTATCAAGTGAAATGTGAATACACAAAGCAGTAAATACACAGAAGCTTCTGCCCCCCAAAGTGTCCCCAAGAAGTTTGAAACAGACACAATGACAAAGGCTCCGTGGTTACCTTCAGGGACACTGTGATAGTCTTGTTTTCACAGGCATCACCCAGAATGCTGAAGGTGGCATTCACAAGTTTACAAAAGGAGACCTGTACCACAGAAGAAAAGAAAATGTAAGCATGGGTGAGTCTGTTCCCCAAGCATACAATCTACAACTGGATCCATGGAGCCCACCAGATGGTGAGTCTCTAAATTCTCAGAGAACTAAACACTCATCAGATCAACTGATGTTTTTACTAGGTGTTGAGAAGATGATTGGGAGAGGAAGATAGAGGGAGGCTGGATAACAGGCATTAAAGCACAGATAAAGTTCTGGTTTTCCACAGCACAGTGGGGGAAATCTTCACAATGATTTACTATGTATTTTATGACTTAACTTCAGAAGTTGCAAGTCTCCAAACATAAATAACAAGAAGAGCTAGGCACAGTGGCTCACACTGCAATCCCAGCTACTTGGGAGGCAGAGATCAGAACGATGGTAGTTCTTCACCAGCCTAGGCAAAAGGTTCCTGAGACCCCATCTCAACCAATGGCTGGACATGGTGGTTCCCATCTCGCATCCCAATTATGCATGGAAGCTGGCAGATTGACTCAAGTGATGGAACACCTGCCTAGCAAGTGTGAGGCCCTGAGTTCAAACCCTGCCGCTGCCAAAAAAAATTGTTCCAACTATGCAAGGAAGCACAAACAGGAGGGTCAAAATTCAGGCCAGCCCAAGCATAAATGCAAGACCCTCTCTCCAAAATAACCAAAGCAAAAAGGACTAGTGGCATGGCTTAATGGTAGAGCACCTGCCTAGGAAGAGTGAGGCCCTGAGTTCAAATCCCAGTACCACCCAAAACAAAACTTATTCCTCCTGTCTAACAGAAACATTGTATCCTTTAACCAGCATCCCTCTGTTCCTCTCATGCCAGTTCTGATAACCACCACTTTGCTGTTTTCTCCTATAAGCTCAGTTATATTAAATTTTATCTATAAATGAGAATGTGCTGTTTGCCTGGCTTTTTTCCCTTAGCATGGTATTCTCTGGGTACACCCAGAGGATGTCTTGCTTCTCTTGTGAAAGGTTAAATTTGATTGAATTGCAGTCACATCATCTTTGCCTTCCATAAATAAAAGAACCAGGTATCAAGGAACAAACCTATTGAATGGGGGATGGGGAAGATAGGGAAATGTGTGGAGAGGTGATCTAGATGGAATTCTTTTCATCCATAAGAAGGAGTGACATCCTAATACTGGTTACAACATGGAGGAACCTTCAAAATATGATACTGAATGAGAGAGGTTCACAGTGTACATCAGTCACGTTCACCCTGTCACCTCTCCTGTCCTCCTTCTCTCTCCTGCTGGTCCCCCAGCCATATTCCCCCTTCTACTTTAATCTAGATTCTCAGCAGGACAGAAAACATGATATTGTCTTTCTGAGCCTGACTTATTTTGCTTAATAGTTATCATCTCTAGTTTCAACCATTTTCCTACGGGCACACAGTTTTGTTCTTTATGACGGAACAAAACTCCATTGTGAATGCATACCACATTTTCTTTATCCATTCGTCTGTCAATGGATATCTGGGGTGATTCTGTGACATGGCTGTTGTGAATGGTGCTGCTATGAACAGGTGTTATCCTGACAAATGCTGTTCTGAATGGGGCAATATCAATGTATTAATTTGCATTTCCCTGGTGGCTAAAAATGCTGAACTTTTATGTATTTATTAGCCATTTGTCCCTCTATTAAGAACTGTCTGGTCAACTCATTTGGATTATTTGTTCTTTTGGTGTTTAATTTTCTTGAGTTCTTTTATATTCTGGACATTAAACAAGATGAATAAACAGCTGGCAAAGATTTTCTCCAATTCTGTAGGCTGTGTATTCACTCTAGTAATTGTTTCTTTTTTTAATTTGATGCAATCCCATTTTCAATTCTTGCTCTTACTTCCTGAGCAATTAGACTGCAATTCAGAAAGTTGTTACCTGTACCTGGATCTTGAAGTATTTTCTCTGTTTTCCTCTAGTAGCCTCAAAGTTTCAGGTCTTTCATTAAGGTCTTTGATTTCTGTATAGACAAAAATCAACCCCAATGGGTCAAAGACCTTAATGAAAGTTTCAGTCCTTTACATGTGGATATCCACTTGTCCCAACACCATTTGGTGAAAAGGCTATCTTTTCTCCAATGTATACTTTTGGCACCTTTGTTAAAGGTAAAATGGCTGTGGCTATGTGGTTTTATTTCTGGGACTTCTATTTGGTTCCATTTAGTCTTCAGGTCTGTTTTTGTGCCAGTACCATGCTGTTTGAGATGCTATGGCTCTGTAGCATAGTTTGAGGTCAGGTATTGTGATACCTCCAGTATTGCTCTTTTTGCTCAGGTTTGTTTTGGCTGTTTGGGGGTCTTTGTGCTTCCATATGAATTTTAGGAATTTTTTCCATTTACGTGAGTAATGTCATTGAAATTGAATTTATATGGGAATTCCATTGAATCTGAAGATTGCTTTCAGTAGTATAGCCACTTTCACGATATTAATTCTGCCAAACCGTGAACATGGGAGGTCTTTCCATCTTCTAGTGTCTTCTTCAATTTATTTCTTTAAAGTTTTATACTTTTCATTGTAGAGGTCTTTCACTTCCTTGGTTAGGTTCATTCCTAGTATTTTATTTCTAAACCATTTGAATGGATTATTTTCCTGACTTCTTTCTCAGCATGTTCATTATCGGTACATAGAAAAGATCCTGATGGCTTTTTTGCTTATTTTGTATCCTGCTGCATTGCTGAAAATGTTTATCAGATCTAAGAGTCTTCTAATGAAACCTTTAAGGTCTTTTAGGTATAGGGTCTTATGGTCCACAAATAAGGATAATTCTTCCTTTCCTATTTGCATCTACTTTATTTTTCTTCCCTTATTTTTCTTGCTAAAATATCAAACAATACATTAAGTAAATGTGGAGAAAGAACACATCCTGTCTCATTCCTGATTTTAGGGAATATGCTTTCCAGTTTCCCCAGCTTAGTGTACTAAGTTGGCTATAGGTCTGTCATATGCAACCTTTATTACACTGAGGTATGATCTTTCTATTGCTAGTTTCTTCATGGCTTTTATCATCAAGGGATGTTGAATATTTCAAAAGGCTTCTTCTGCATTTATTGAGTTGGACATGTGACTCTTTGTGCCTGATTCTATTTATGTATTATATTACATTTTATTGATTTGTGTAAGTTCAACTATCCTTACACCTCTGGAATGAAACCAACTTGATGGTAGTATGTGATCTTTTTAATGTGCTGTTGAATTCAGTTTGTATTTTATTGAGAAATTTTGTATCTATGTTCATAAGGAAGTTTTCTTTTTTGTTGTGTCCTTTTCTGGTTTTGGTATAAGGGTAATACTGGTTTTATAGAGTGAATTTGGAAATTTTTCTCCCTTTTAATTTTTGTAATAGTTTGAGGTATGTTAGTGTTACTTCTTTAAAGGTCTGGTAGAATTCAGCAGTGAACCTATCTGGTCCTGGGCTTTTCATTTTTGGAAGACTCTTTATTGCTGTTTCAATCCTATTACTGTTATAAATCTGTTTAAGTTGTTTATATGTTCTTGGTTTGATTTTGGTAGGTCATAAGTGTCTAGAAATTCATCCATTTCTTCGAGAATTTCCAATTTATTGGAATACAAGTTTTCAAAATATTCCCTTAGGATGTTATAGATTTCAGTGGTGCCTGTTGTAATATCCCCTTTTTCGCCTCTAATTTTATTAATTTGTCTTCTCTCTTTTTTGGTTAGTTTAGGAAAGGGCTTGTCAATCCTGTTTATCCTTTCAAAAAGCCAACGCTTTGCTTCACTGATCCTCTGTGTTGGTCCTTAAGTTGTCATTTCATTAATTTCTGCCCTGGTCTTTATTATTTCTTTCTTCTGCTAGTTTGGGGTTTGCCTTGTTCTTGTTTTCTAAGACCTTGCAGTGCATGATTGGGTTTTTTAATGTAGGCACTCTCCTTCTCTTCATAAAAGAAACTCCCAAATTTTAGGTGGGTAAATGTCCTCTCTTCCAGCTAGTCATGCCCATATGACAAATTTCTGGTGTGACCTAGGGCATACTGTTAAGTGGAAAGACTGTTCCTTTCACTTCTCTTTCTCTTCCCACTCTCTGGAAAGCAGATGTGATGTCAAGAGCAGCCATTTTGGGGCCACAAAGTGGAGTCTTGTGCTGATGAAGAGGAAAGGAAGTGTATCTAGTTTAGGCCACAATTACTTTTGCTGTTTTGCTATTGGTTTTTCATTTTTAAAGTTGCAAAACATCATCTTACTTAAGCAACTTCTTGGAGAACCTCAAAAACTAGGACTCTCCAACAATACTTACATATTCCAGCTCTGTGGAGGCCCCTGCTTGGCACTGCTGGACCTGCTTGTTGTGGGGTATTATGTCTTCCTTACATTTGAAGGGAACTCCTAGGAAGAAAACAAAAGCAACCATGCCAAACTGGAATCATAGCAAGACAGGATTTCATAGCCTTCCAGCTTAACATCCACCCACAGCCATCACGCCCAACTACAAGGCCATGCACAGAGCGAGGAGCTCTAAGGAGTACGTGTTGACTGGAAAACAGCAGGACAGAGAAGACAGCACACAGTCTGGTGCCATTTCACAATACTCCAAAACAAAGTAAACTAAGCAAGATGTTGTTTAGAGATACAAATCCAGAAAGGGGGTCTTTTTAAAAGATTAAGTTTCCAAGTGGCTCCTTTGAGGAGACAGAAAGAGTGGGGCAATGCATATTCAGGAGATACAGTGGCTTTGGTGACATTCTCAACCTTATGTGAGGAAGGGTCTCAGATATAGTTCTTTTGTTATTATACTTCATTGCTGCCATTTAGCTTACACATATCTTAATGTATAAAAATATATTACTTAAAATTTTTTAAACTTTCTGGTGATTTTTTATTTTTTAATTAGCATACATTGGTGGTATGAGAGGGTTTCATTGTGATAATTCCATAAATGCATACAGTGTACTTTGAACAAGTTCACTTCCTTAGTTATATTCCTTTACCCTCTTTCTCCCCCCTTTTTGAGGGGGGAGAAAGACTTCAAATGTTTTTACATGGCATTTGAGGCCCTGAAGAATCTGACTTCTGCTTACCTCATGAGATACATCTAATGCCACTCTGCCTTGTTCTCAATCTGCAGGAAACCACAGGACATTTGTACATGCTGCATACAGGAACAACATGATCTCCACTTTTCCTCTGGATAATTTCTACTCCTCCAAGTTTAAATTTGCTCAGAGCATATCCAATGTCCCATTATTCACTCCAAAATACACTATTACTTTTTCTGTTGTTGCTTTGATCATGATTATTCATAGCAAGATGTGTGCTCTCTGCACCATAAACTACATAAAAGCAGGTAACATGCTCATCATATTCAGGATTTAATACCCCATACTGAAGTGGGGGGAATGTTAAATTAGTTGATTAATAGTTGGTCCAAAATGTATTCAATAATTTCTTGAATAAGTAGATGGATGAACGAATGAATAGAAAGATAAAAGAGTACGTGGGTAAGGTGAGAGTAAAACAAGAAGCAGAGTAAGGACTTTGCAAACAGGACAAGACACAGTACACACAAAGACAATATTACTTTTGCAGCTGAAGTTGCCATGAGTCTGGGACCCATCTGGATTGGGACGGAAGCCCACAATGCATCTACAGCTGTAGGAACCGGGGACATTGGTACAGACAGAATTTGGGCCACAAGGTGATGGATCTTGGAGGCATTCATTAATATCTACAAAGAAATCAGGGATATCAAGAAACTCAGAGGAACAGGAGAGACACATTCCCCAGCTGTCTGGCAAACCCTCTGCTCACCTCCACATTCCACTTCTAGGTCTGTGAAATTCAGTTGTCCATCACTTGATGCAAAGCCAGGGTGGCAGTTGCAAAAATAGCTCCCAGGAGTGTTGGTGCATGTTGAATTCAGGGGGCACCTGTCAACACACTCATCGATATCTGTAGGGTAGAGGATGAGTGTGATGGTGTGGTGGGCAGTGGGCCAGCAGAGCCCTGCTGCCTCTTCCACGTTACAGTTGTGTGTCATTTAATGATGGAGAGGCCTCTAATAAGTGTATCTTTAGGTGATTTTGTCAGAAAACCATAGCACACACTTGCACAAACCCCCATGGTATATTGCCATTGCCTCAGTGCAATCAAGGAAGATGGTAAACATGAAATGCATGTGGCTGATGCTGGAATAACATGGCTGACTATTTTATAGTAAATTCTTTTTTTGGTAGTTCTGGCATTTGAACTCAGAGCCTCACATTTGCTCAGCAGGTGCTCTGCTACTTGACCCACACCCTTTTGGCTTTAGTTATTTTTTAATAAGGTCTCACTTTTTGCCCAGGTCACTTCCTGTATAGCTGAGATGACAGGTGCACACCACCACACCCAGCTTTTCTTAACTGAGAAGGGGTCTTGCAAATTTTTTTTACTTTAAACACAGTCCTCCCAATTTCAGCTTCACAAGTAGCTAGGAGTACAGGCATGTGTCACCATGCCAAGCCCAGTAAATGTTTTTAATATGTAGGAGCACCCTCTAATATAATGACAAAAGGTATGTGAATACATACACCAGTAACATATTCATTTATCATCATGATCAAGTATCATGTGTTGTCCATAATTTCACATGCTGTACTTCTGTATGACTGGCAGTACAGAGTTCTGTGTACACCAACATTACCACAAACACATAAGTAATGCATTGTACTATGACAACTACAACATCAACAGGAACTTTTCAGCTCACTACAATCTTATGGGATGACATACATGCAATCCATTGTTGACCAATACATTATGATTTACATGACTGTACAGAGTTGTCCTAGAAAAATGGCAACCCAGCCCAGGACTACATTTCCCAGAAGTCTCTAGGTAAGGCCATGTAAGGGGTCTTCACTTGTAGAATATAAGGTGGTATGATACACATCATTTCTGGGCCAAGGTGGTTAAGAAGTGGATGAGACATCTGACCTCTCTCTTTTCCCTCTACTGGCTGGAACCAGGGACCTGAAGATGGAAGAAAACTGTGTTTCTTTATCTCCCTGTGAAGAAAGGCAGTGCACTGGCCAGGAACACCTGTGTTGTATTGTTACAAGAGTAAGAAACTTCTTTTATGTACTCAACTGGGAGCAATTTCCCCAAGGAACACTGGGCAATATCTGGAGACATTTTTATTGTTGTGAGATGAGAAGAGTGTTACTGGAATCCAGTGAGTAGAGGCCAAAGATGCTGTCACATGTCCTACAATGCACAGGGCAAACCCCCAACAGCTACAAAAATTCCAGCCTAAACTGTTAATAATGCTGAAGTAGAGAAAGTCCAAGCTTAAACAGTCCTGAAGAGTGCCAGGTCTTCTAAGGGTTTTTGAACCACAGAAGATATAAGGAGTAGAATGTTCCAGAAAAAATCATCAGAAAGATATAAAGACAAGATCTTTCACATCTTTATGTCAACTCATGTAGAATTAAACTCGTGTGGATTAAAACATGAAGAATAAATAGGCACCATTCACTAATGACTCAAGCTGGTATATGGCATGGCATATAGCAGTTGGCACTGCCTGAAGAGTTTGGAAGGAAAAGACTTGGATTTAAATGAAGATTAATTGAGAGGCCTCAAAAAACAAAGGAATGACCTGCAGTTCGAAGGTATGGGGAAGAAGGGTTTTTTTCTTGGTATTTTGTAGGATGTTTCTTAACAAAATTGTAAGCTTCTTTTTTGTGATAGTGAGTTCTCCACATCCAAGAATATTTAAGAATAAACTAGGTGAGCTCTTGGTAGAGACAGAATTTAAATTTTGTATATGAAGTTGGGTTAGGTGCATGGTTTTTTAAACTTTGGGGATATGGGAGCCTTTCTTCATATGAAGTGAAACCTGGACAAGTAAAACAAATTAAAGAGATGATACTGTAACAGGAACAGATGGATGTGTAAGACCTTGCATGCTTGCTTTTCTCCTTAGTCTTTTTTTCCTCTGGTGGTACTAGAGTTTGAACTCAGTGCCTTATGCTTGCTAGGCAGGCTGTCTACCACTTGAGCCACTCCACCAGCCCTTTATTGTGTTAAGTATTTTTGAGTCTCACAAAGTATTTGCCTGACTGGATTCAAACCATGATATTCCTGATCTCTGCCTCTCAAGTAACCAGGATTACAAGAGTGAGCCACTGGTGCATGGCATCTCCTTAGTCTTAGTCTTAATGGGGATTTGGAATATTTCTAGGAGCCCTGAGGCCATAGTAATTTGTCTCTAAGATATCTTTCAACTTTCCCCCTCTGTTGCTCTGCTTCTAACAATAGCAGCTAGTGAAGATCAACAAGTCGTAAGAACTAGAACATTTTCAATGACGAGAAGCAAGCCTCTCCCCTAAAGATCTGCTGTGAGGTAGATTCTCCAACAATGATCTCCATCAGCCCTTCCACTTCTTGCAGGCATGTGTTGCTGCTCCAATGAGATGGGGAGTTTACTTTCTCTTCCTTGGAATCTACCTGGCTTTTGACCAAGACCAATAGGCTATAATGTAATAATGTTCTGAGACTTCCAAGCCCTGACTACACGTGGGCTGGCAGGTTCTGCTTTCTTACTCTTGAAACTTTACCTTCTTAGAAACCAACAGCCATGCTATGGGAAAATCCAAGAATCCGTGTGGAAAGGCCCATGAGGGAAACTGAGGGTCTCAGTAGAGTGCCCAGCCAGAGATCTGCTATATAAGCAAGGCCATGTTAGACCTACCACCCATCATAGGCCCAGCCCCACATGATACTAAGTGAAACATAAAAAAACTATCATAGCATCATGAACAAAAGTAAGTGATCATTGTTAACCAGGCACAATGACTCATACCTATAATCCCAGCTGCTAAGGAGGCAGAGTTAGGAGGATGACAGAGGCTAGTCATGGCATAATAAAAAAGTTAGCAAAACACTATCTCAAAAAACAAACCAGGGAGGAGATCCAAGATTGCAACTAGGGTATGGAAGCAATAAGCCTAACTTCTGTGACTTCAAAACCTGCCTGAGAAGTTGGAGCCACACCTGGATAACTCTGACTGCCTCTAGCCAAAATAATAACTGCCATCACACTAGATGCAGGAAAAAATTCAAAGACTGACCCACAAATCAGCCTTTAATTGCACCTAATAGCTGCAACCCTCTGCACAGCCAGCAAGGTGGGTCCAGCCCCAAGGAAACCCTCCTTCCCCGTGGTGATTTTTTTCTTTTTTTTTTTCCTCTTTTCTTCTCTCTTTCCTTCTCTTCTCCTCCTCCATCAAAAGGAAATAAAGCACCAACCAGAAACAAACCTTCAACACTGTGAATCCCTAGACTGGGGAAACACATTACACTGAGAAAATTTGGAGGCTGCCACAGCCACTGCCACCACAGCTGCCACCGCCAGCTCCAAACCTGCCTGTGAGACATTCAACAGAACAAACAGGTGAGCGCCACGTGTCACGCGGAATTCCCCCAGCCACCCCCAGGATAAACCAGCACAGCCCCTGGGCAGGCTGACCCCCCCAAAAAAAAACTGAATAACAAATAGTGAACTATAATCTAGCACAACAGCAGAGGGGGCGGGAATGCTGAAAGTGCACCAGAGAAAGGGGTAGGGTCAAAAAGCTAATCTCAGCAGGAACTATCAGTAAACAAACACTGAAAGGCAGGAAGGCTGAGAGCAGGTGAGCAGTAGGCCACTCCCCGAAGCAGGACAGGTAGTGGATCACAGAGTTCATCTCCTGAGCCATCGAACAGCACCCAAAGTCAAACTGCCCCACAAAACTGAAAAACAAACAGTGAACCATCATAACACACTGAAAGCAGAGGGGGCTGATGGAACACTAAACCTGCCCCAGAGAAGGGGGTGGGGCAAAAAATAAACCCCCAGCATGGAAATCCCAGTAAACAAGCACAGTGAAAAGCCACCTCCAAATCAGGGCAACTAGTGGACTACAGAACTGATCTCCTGTACCAGAGGGCAGCATTCAAACTTGAACTGCCCCACCTTACTGGGGGTGGAGCTGACCAAACAGCTGCAGCTGAAAGATAACACAGCTATCAGCTGGGAAAATCAATAGCTCTGGCTCTGATCACCCTGCAAGATCTGGCAAAGCTACCTCACCTCACAATTTCAATTTAACTGGTAGAAGAACAAAACACTACTCACAAGCCAATAACCTGGTGAGACCACATTAGTGTTTCTGCTTATATGCCAATACCAGGACTGGATGCCAGAGGAAAAACTACAGAACTTAAACGAAGACTGAAATTCTATTGTTCCTGAACCTGGTGTTTTCCTTTTTTTTTTTTGTTTTTTTGTTTTTTTGTTGTTGTTGTTTGTTTAGGGTTGTTTGTTTGCTTGTTCATTTTTTCCCATTGGTTTTGTTTGTTTGTTTGTTTGCTTTGTTATTGTGGGTCTTCTATTTTATTTCTATTCTTAAATTATCTTTTTTCTTTCTATACTATCAACTTTGCCATCATCATCTTTTCATCCCTACTCTCACCCACTTCAATCTCTCTCCTTCTCCTGTGCTAAAATCCATTTCTCTCCTCCCTAACAACTCATTCTGCCTCATCTCACCCACTCTATCCTCTGCCCTCACCTTCCCCTCTGATCTCCCCCAACCTGTCACCAGTCTACCCCTCCCTCCTACACACTCATCACTTGCTGAACAACCTACTATACCAACTTTACAGACCCCAAACCCCTGCAAGCCCTGACACAAACACTCTCCACTGCAACAACAGAAATACACCCAACACACACAGGACCACAAAATCCAGCAGCCCCTGAACTGCTTCCCCCACTCACCCACCCCACTTCCTTCCTCCCCCTTTAGTGCCACCCTATCCAATTCCCCAAATTTCTATAGCTAGCCTTACAAACATTAGCCCCAAAACTCCCACTGCTTATAGATATTACCACCAAGGGGTCTCCTATATAACATATAAAC